CCATGTGCACGAACACACGCACACACACACACACACACACACACACACACACAATATCGGCTATTTGATCAAATAGATTACTTGCATCAAGATAAGTAGCTTGCTGAAATCATGTTGATAGAATAAACAACAGATTATTAAAGGAGGTGGTGCACAGGAGAGATTCTGGTGCGTGACTGATGTTTGTCCAGTGTGTGTGTCCTGCCAGGAGGGTCCCGGCATAACGCTAGGTAGGATGCTGCACTCAGAGAGAGGCAGCGCAGAGCTATGTGTAAAGAGTGCCTAGAAATCTGCAGCCAAGGTAACTGGATTGCCAGCCCTCATTGCATATGCATAGAGTCAGAGGCTCATGCTCAGATCATTATAACAAAGATTCCTATTAATTAGGTGGGATAAAGCAGAACCAGATGACATGGCAGCTGGGATGAGAGGAGCGGGGAGAAGGGAGGGAGCTAAAAGAGGAGGGGAGAAGGTGCATCAGTCTGTTTTGGGGGTAGGGAAAGGGTGCCTATTTTATAATATAATGTATAAAACAGATTGCATGATATGTGATATCCTTTGAATCAAAACCTTTTTTGTAAAGGCTACATTCTACATTTCTAAAAATAAATGTGTTGGTGCTATTATGCACCTGCAGCCAATTTCCAGTGAGCCACCATGTGGAGTCAGCAGGAGCTGTGACACTGACAGGGGACAGTGTTACAACAGAGTCAAGAGTTCATCAGTGCTAATCAGACCACAGGCTTAGCGCTGATTCTATTCTCTTCCAAAGCTTTCACCCATCTCTGAATCTCATTACATGGCCTGTTGTAATAGAGGATAATGACCTGGGGCTACGCACACAATGCTGATCACTCCCCCACACTCAACCTACCGCACAGTCATTACACAGTGATAATGCACAACCTCGTCAGGGGGATTACACTTATAAATAGAGCAGAGGTGATACAAGAAAAAGGAAGAGAAAGAGAGGTCTTACTGACAACACAGTAACACGTACAGTACTCGTATATAACCCTGTGTTCACAGTGGCTCACTTTGTGGTGCTGTTTTATGTCACAAGTAATGGTTAGGTTACCTGCCGCTGTAATAGGGAGGGATTATTTTCTTAGTAGCCATTAAATATCCTCCTACCTGGGGTTAAAAGGGAGTTGTAGTTTGGCTGAATGGTGTCAATGCCCCCCTTTTGCTAAGCTAATTAGCCATGATTCTGTCAAAGGGCTCCAGGTGTTGAGTACTTTGCTTGAACACCTACTGTATCTACTCGGACTGCTCTAAAATACTGCAGTATCTTTCTGTTATTTTCTTTATTACGTTAATAATATTTGATTTGTTTTTGCGTTTGGTTCAATGAGAACTGTAAAAGATTAGGTGAATGATAATATGGTTTATTGCTAACAAAATATATGGAAAGACTGCCCACTTTCAGTTTAACAGCTGTGTCAAATGTCCTGAGAACACAACTGTTCACAGACTATTGGCTCTCCTTCACTATGCAGCACTCTTTTCTTAACAGCATCCAAGAAAATGAGCCATTATGGCATAATGTGATATTGAATACCAGCAGTTGTGATATTTTGTTTAAAGTTTGACTTAAATATTAAGAAACTACATCACTGAATTGTTGATATGCATTTGTATGGAACACATAATGCCTCTCTCTTGAGAAAAAGAACAAAACTGCTTCTAATGTTTTGCTAGTTTTACTGGCAAGGACTCAACAAGTAGATACCAGGGAAATCCCTAAAAGCCAAGACAGGAAGCTTAAACAGATTTACCCGTCCTTGTCCTGGGGGACGATCATAAAGACTCAACACACAAAGTATTTTCTGTGTTGACTTGCACAGTATTGATTCATACTTTAGTGCATTATATAAAACTGTTCTAATTGCATGTGAATCAAATCAAGGTCACCTTGGGTTTTTATAATGGTGGCTATTTTTCTTTTTCCCCCAATACTTTATACTGAAATTTGTAACTCTTGACAAGTGCTGTCTGGAGACCAACCATAAATAATGCATTTACAATACCTAGTAAATAAACATGGGCCACAATCGTTAGCCCTGCTGGCAACGGGGCCTAATAGAGCTTTTACAGCAAAGGTGACTATTCAGCTAAATGCGCTGCTCGCTGCTGGGAGGACATTTTCATTCATTAGCACAGTCACAAGCACTTAAAGCACTTTAAGGACCAGAAATGGAGAGGAAGGGTGGAAGGATGAAGAGGGTAAAAGGGTACAAATGTATTGAGAAGGAAGGAAGGAGGATATACAGAGCACCATCTCTATTGTTATAATGTTTATTAGGCATATTGGTCAGTTAATGAAACTGGCCAATCAGATTTACTTTGAAGGGAGACATACAGTATTGGAAGAAGTCCAACATTTCTCCAATATAAGTGTTTTTATTTTCCTGCTTATTCCTACTAAAACTGTTCCCAACATCTCACCCACAATACCATTCAGATTCATTTTAAAATTGGTGACATATCAGCTACTAATGAATTGGAATTGTATTTATGTTTGTCACAACATGAAAAAATCACATCTAATAAAACTCAATATTAAGAATCAGAACGTTAATAAAGACATTCAACAGTATTTGAATGCAAGGTCCAGGAGCCTTTTCAAAGCAAATGTTCAACCAGTTTTAAAATAAATTAGAGTGGAGTTTCACATTGTACCATAGACCAGTTGTTTTCTCTCTACACTTGAGGTCACAGCATCTATCCTCACTCCATCAGTACAATGAACTATTTTGACCAGACAAGAAAGCCCAGAGAAGAATGGTAGCAGATGGTGAAGAGTCTCAGCGGACCTTGGTGATCCCGACCAGGCAGGCATTGAAGCAGCAGAATTAGACACAACAGTTGTCATGCTTAGATAAGAGATATATTTGGCTCATCAGTTGCTTGCGCCACATTAGCAACATCATTAAGACAACAAATGGCTTCTCCAACCTTCTTGTATGTCCTTTAATCGGTTAATCCAGCCCTTTTTTATTTCCAACAGGGGCGCTCTCAATAAACAAAGACATCCGATTATGATTCCTCAAAGGTTTCTGTGAGGTTTTATTTTCCTCTAAGAGTCCCTCTCCCTCCATTTTACAGTAATCACTGATCATCACCACTGAAGCTTCCTCAAGTGCTCTCAGGAACCGAGTAGCTCTCAGTTCCTGCAGCTCGGGGACAGCATTCTGAACTTTTTGAGGCTCTTGTCTTCTGCTGTGTTCCCTGCTCACAAACTAATTTCATTCAACAAGGGAGTTTATTTAGGTGCCGATGATATATGACAGACAGCACATGAGGCAGACCAAGTCTCTATTATTAACAGGAGATTAAAACAGCTGTATGGCACTCTAAAGCACCCTCTCCTCCCTGCGTTAACATACGGCCCTGGATTACAAGCTGCACTTGACCATTTAAATTACTGCAACAACCAGCCTTCACCAGCTGGGGCTCATTACCATAACGCCCAACGTCGATAAAGAGAGAACTGGCAATCTCGCCATGAAAATCAACTCTGAGAGAAACAAGACACGTGAAATATATTCTTACCTAAGGGGAAAATAAAGAAGCAGTAACAGAATCACTTTATTTGTTTTACAAAAAATGTGTCCTGTAAAGTGGGGTAGAGCCGACATTCTCTTGTGTCCTGGTTTCAGCGGCAGATCTAAGACCAGTTGCTATCAGGGGCATTTACCTTTGGATTTTGTTTTAGTATATTGTTTGCTAAATTTCCAATGGCTGAGGACATTATGATAAAGAAAAGTATTTGATTCAAGTATTCTGGCATGCTTATGCACACTGGCATGTTTTGCATGTATAATGTTTCAATTACCTCTTTTATTTTGTTGGTCATTTCATTCCAATAATCCGAACTTTTCTAAATGATCTCAAATGTATAGGTGTTCAGGTAAATACGGCTGATTATTCTGTATTTTATTATCTAAATGACACCACAATTATCAGTCCGCATATCAGGATGTGGCTAAATGATTATTCTGTGAGAGGCCCGTGATGCTCTGATACAAAGATCACCAAACGAACACTTAAAAGAGAAGTGGCAAATTATTTTTAGGCTAACAGAGGTCTAATTTATTCGTCTGATGAAGTGCTTAAGCTAAGAGCTCCCCAGACACTAAATGAGACACATGCATTCCCAAGGGGGTTTAACATTTGATTGGATGTAGTTATATTACTACAGCCCTAATTAAGAAGGGGGATGTGTTTCAGCAGCTCTTTCAAATATTTGTTTTTCCGCCATACTCTTGATAGACTGCAGGCTGTGGGAGGGAGAGCCGAGCCGGGTGAAACTGGGTGCAGATATGACATAGACCTAACAGTCTCATCTCCTTTTTTTCTTCTTTTTTTCTGTATGCAATTGTAGGAAAATAAAAAATCTTCATGGTGTGATGAATAGGACGTGAGAAGGCTAGGGTTGTTTATGTGTAGCAAACTTTGATGAATAACTGCCTTGCGTAAAAAGTGTTCCGTATAGCAAAATAAAAAGAGGTAATGTTCCTGGCGTCAGGTCTGCACTATGAGTATTATAGTCAGAGAGTTTGCCTTGGCACTGAAGAAGACCACACTTGTGCTGAGGTGCACTGCCACACAGTTTTTGTCACATTGGAAAAGGTTCAGAACAATTTGGAAACACTGTAACGTCAGTATTCCCAGTGTGTGTGTGTGTGTGTGTGTGTGTGTGGTGTGTGTGTGTGTGTGTGTGTGTGTGTGTGTGTGTGTGTGTGTGTGTGTGTGTGTGTGTGTGTGTGTGTGTGTGTGTGTGTGTGTGTGTGTGTGCCCGTGTGTGCCCGTGTGTGCCCGTGTGTGCCCGTGTGAGTGTATGAGACGGAGAGATACAGGGGAAAAGAGACTTTTGGGATGCTAGAAAATTATGAGAAAGAAAGAGGGAACATTTGGGACGATCAGGCACACTTGGAAAGGAAAAAGTTGTACCTACGCCCTTATATACACACACACATAAACATGCAGAGACATACCGTCTTGTTCTGTCTTTGTCATCTCCTCCAGTTTCTTCTGCTTCAGCGTGTCAACTACGTCTGCCAGGCTTCCTTTGCGGCGCTCCGGAGTTCCAAATGCTGATCCACTCAGCAGGTCGCTTCGCTCCCGGGCCCCCTCCTCCGGCTTGTGTGGGGAAGTGGAATTGTTCCGGAAGGAGTACAGGGAACATACTTTATTGCTGTCAGATTCCTGTAAGACAAACACAAGTTGAGAGGGTTGGCAACAAGGGATGGGATTTGTATTCAATGATGAGTGGGTTCCTGTGTTCTGTCAGGGCTCCATTGAGCTTTTTGACAGTTTTTCATTCAAATGCAGTGATTGTGCGATTTTTGCAACTCAGGGGCGATTCAACCATATCAAATAGGTCCTCTCTGGCTTTCATACAGCATCTTTTGTGTCTTCAACAGAGCTAGCTTTGCTGGTAAATTAGATATGACAAGTGAAAAACTGAGATGAAATGATGAGGTACACTTTCATAGGGCATCCATAATGTGCTCTTTACTTTTCATCTGCAGAGACTACACAGAGAAACCTCCCAACTGTAATTTCTCCAATTGCTTTTGAGTGTACATTTGTGTTAGGGTGACTGCTGTGTAATTTGTTCATTTTCTAGTGGAGACCTATTCTCAGCTGAGTGCCTTGAGCTATCGTAAATCTGTGTCCTGTCTCGAGCTGTTGTTGTTTTTCAGTCCCACCTGTGTATGGTTTAGTATTTAACTAAGGGTCCTGTCTCTGGCTGACTGGCTGAGTGCTCCCTGTGCACAAACAGAGACATGAAGGAAATGGGGAGAAGAATGGGAGAGAGCGTGAGGGGCGGGAGACGGGGAAAGAATACTCTGCACACAGGAGTGTATAGTCAGCACACAGACCATGGCTTAGGGTTGCGTCTGACAGAAGGTGGTGTTAATTATGGTCTGTGGAGTCTGAGAAAGCAGAAGGTGGCTAAGCAGCCAGGAGTTTGCAGCCTTTAACGGGGGAACAGTTAGCTCTGATTTAAACTCTGGGCCTCAAAGTGAAGGGAATAAACATGACACATGCCTGTATCCAACACATACTGCACCCCTATCGTGGACAAGTGAGATTTAATCAAGAGCACAGCGATAACTGTGTGTACTACAGCATGGTTAAATGGTAGAACTATGTCTGGATCCCCTGGCAATCCTAAATAAAACGTCAGGAATGTGGGCAGGAATGTTGCCAGTGCAAATGTATCATCCCTGCGTTGCATGTTGAGCTCCAGGCAGAGTTACATTGGTGTGTCGGGTGGTCTGGTACCAAGCGCCAGGGTGGCACGACCTACAGGCCTACCCTGCACCTCCCAGCCCTGTGTTGGATGATTATACAGTGTGGCAGAGACAGCAGAGAGTGCTTGAAGGGAGTGGAGCAGTGCTGGGTTAATCAGCTGGCGCAGGTTCAGGGCACAGCCCACACAGACGCATGGCACAGCAGTGGAGTCAGGTAATCAGCGAAGGCAACACTCTCATTCCTTTCGCCTTATGCCTTTGCCTTTTCTTCTCTCTGTATCTCCCTGTCGTCCCCCATTTTACCTCTACTCTCTTTTTGCGTCCTTCCTCCCACTTTCTCTTTGAAGTGTGATTTAATTTCTTATAAAGTTTCCTATCATTTAGGATATATCTGACCTGACCTTTTGCCATGTTAACACAGGGGAGCTATACAAATAAGTATAAATAATATTATAGTATTTAAAATGAATTCATTAGATTTAGGTTTTAGGTGTTTAAAAAACTATTTATTTGGGTATTTAGTTCCCCGTCAAAATAAAATCATTAAAAGAAAACCTGAATCCTGTTACTGAGATGAGGAAATGTTCCACAGATGAAGACATGACCTGAGCATTCCCTCGGCTGTCAGTAAGCTACACTGTCAGCATGCAGCCGCGCATCATGAGGAGCAAGCTGCTGCAGAGGCCATTCATGTGTGTGGGTCGGTTCTTCTTGTGCGTGTGCTGCAACGCCGAGGTGTTGAGGGTCTAAGTTACCAACTGCTGAGCTACTTCAGAGGCCCTCAGGGTCTCTTTACCACAGACCCGTCTGTCACAGACAGACCACCTGCATCCCATGTCTATAGCCCACAAGTGCCTGTGCTTTACTTCGCTCCGCTCACATCAAAGCAGCACCGCACTTAGAATGTACAGCGTCTGGGGTCTGGCTGCAGATGTGGCTTATACACAACAAGAAAAACAACATTGGAACACCGAGGACACGACATGTTTCTTTAATGGCAACGAGAATGCATCACGGCCTAACTTCGGTCATGATGCGATTTTATGAGCCATTCACATTATTAAAGGGATAGTAAGATGTCCTCTGTCTAACCTTATAATAGCTGATGGTTTAGTATTTGGCAGAGCTGCTTATCAGAAGACCCCAGAATTGAAGAAGATTCACGGCGTGAGTGAAACATGGGGATGGAGCGTGAAAACCCAAGGGAGGACAGTAAGACAGTCGTTTACATATATCTAAAATGGTTCTGCTTAGCTATATATTCCTTCCACATAAACTGTTTCATTCAAATGTGCTTCTACATCTATTCTGTTTTCTATTATTCCAATTCTTATGCGATAAATTAAGAAAGAAAAAGGTTAATGTATGAAGGCTGTTGAATTGTCTCACCATGCGCTGTTGGGCTGAAACCAGACTGTCCCAATCGCTCTCTGGAGGCATGCTGCTGAGCGGCTGCATTTCATCAGGATGGGCTTTTCCATGGAGCAGGCTGTGCAGGGGCAGCTGTGGTGTGCCATGGGCCTCGGCACTCTCCTCTTTCTCCCAAGACAAGTGCTCCTGACTCATGGCATCATCCCCATCGACCACAGAGGCGAAAGGAGACGTGGCTTGCTTGGAAGACATAACTCTGCTGTGGAGCAGAAAAATGAGATGAGAGTCAGGGAGAAGAAATGATATCTCACGATGATCATCAACAATACACAAAAAGGATTTCAATTCTAGAGTATTTGATATGCGACTAGCAGTCTTCTTTAACTGATTGTAAATGGCTTTTGTCTAAATGATGGCACTCTCGTTTAGCTGATTGTCAATGGCTCTAACAGGGACACGTGTAAATGGCTCTAACAGGGATTATAAGGGGCACCTAATGTAGGCAGTCAATGCCGCATGGATTGAATGCTCCTCCTGACTTGGGCCTGTTGGTGCTCATGCCTGTGTACTTAAGAGCAGGCAGTGGGGTCCCTAATCCTTTGTTTAATGCAGATGGATGGCTTGATCTAGGCCTGGAACACTGCCTGCTTGGGTCTTGGCTCAAACCCCAAGTCAGTTACTCAGGCAGTAGGTCAGACAGGCATACGACTGCCATCCAAATAAAAACCTCACAAATAATTCAACCCCTGTTACAGAGAAATGTAAAACGGGGTTGCTTTTTCCTGTGGTAATATTCTTTTTTTCTAAGTTGATTTGATTGGGTTTTCTCCTTCAAGCCTTCCATCATTTCTTTGTGATAGTTGATTTTACTCTAAAGCAATCAAATAGAAACGTAAGCCAGCCTTGTGTTCTTTTGTTTCCACTTTAAATCACGTCAAATTAGGGAATTATTAACATTTTGGTGTGACACTTTTCCCTTGGGCAAACAAATCCTACATAATCAAAATCAAAAAACTGACAGTGGAGGACTAAATTCACAAATCTGTCACATGCTTTCATGAATATTACAGCGAATAGTCTACTTGACATATCAGGTGCAAAGAAAACTCATGTTAATTCTAATTTAATTATGTTTTTCTGCTTTACAAACCAACTCTTTTTGGTGTAGAATTCATACAATCAATTCAACTTTTTCTCACAATTAATGAGGATCCACTCTTGCTGTGTGCTACAATGAATGAAATGAAACACTGCCAAGCAAATCTAATTATGCATTTGGTATTAAATTAAAAAGCGGATAATATGGCCTTCCTACTGATGTGAAGTGGAGAGAAGGAGATGGAGCGTATATAACTCCTAATCTGCCTTTTCCTGAGCTGTTCTGCTTTTCAACTAAAGCACATTGACAATTGCAACAAGGATGTGACTCCTTAGAATGAGTGTACGTCCATGTGCGCCAGAGGAAGGAGAAATACTTATTAAGAGTGTGAAGGTCTGTGTTTGTATATGACTAAATGCTCAGGGTTCTTGTACTACATTTGATCACTGATCACCATCTGCCCGTTCTCCTGCTCTATCCACAGGGGTCAGTGTGACAGCGCTTTAGTCCCACCCTCAGTTTGCCTGGGGGCGGGAGGGGGGGGGGGCTTGAGAGAGGGAGGGGGGAATCTCAAGGTTGAGGCAGGCTGTGGTGCGATGTTGTCCTTGTGCTCGGCTGAGAGTCAGACACTAACAGATAGGGAAGGACATATTCCATTTAAGAAAGGCTTTTATTAACAGTTTCTTTGGGTCTTTTAGTTCTTTGATTCACTCAAATAAGTCTGTCAAATAAGTCTTTTCAATGTAACTTTAATGAACAGCTGAATTTGATATTGTCTTGAAGTTAGGAGTATTTCAATAGCACCTTTCAAATAACAAAGGCAATTCATAGTGCTGTACAAAGTGATAAAGCAACTTTTAAATGACAGATTTATGAAAATATAAATATAATACTGAGAGAATATGAATTGATAAAAGACAGTGCAAAAGTGATGGTGCCGTTTCTATAATGAATGGCAGAAAGGTTTGATTCTCTATTGAGAAGTAAGCAGACGACTTGAGAAGTCTGGAGGGAATTAATGCTGAAATGTGGTTCAGAAATGCGCACTAGTATATCCAAATAAAACAGTACATTTACCGCACTCTATCTAATTGTCATTCACTTATACACACACAGACACACACACTGCACACTGGCACACAGTCACAGATCAACCTGGGCAGTGAAGGAGGAGCTGGACGATGGTAGCCTAGGTTAATCTCATGTGTCTCAGCAGCTGTACAAACAAACCCGGTATGTCAGGTATATGGCAGGGCAGGAGTGTGAGACCTGTGCCTCTCTGTTTGTCTGTCTGTCTGTCTGTTAACGTTCTGCCTTTTAGCCTCTGTGCCTGGATGTGTCGTCAGCTGTGTCTTTAGTGGGACTCAGCCCTCAATTTTAATCAGCCATTAAATTGTTTCCTGTAATTATATCAAATAGAAAGTGATCTCGAAATTGGTTACTGTTAATTGAAAATCAAAAGTCAGAGCAAAGTTCAGAGCATGCATGTAGAGGGGGCAGTCGTGGGGTTTTGGAGGGCTAGAAGGGGATGCGTGTGTGTGAATATGTGTGTGGTAGGAGCAGATCGGGCACATAGATTCTGATGTATTTTTTATTCATGCAACCAAAAAGCCCAAGCCTCGAGAGCAACAAGCACCTCGTCCTCAATGGAGTGTGAGAGTGAAACAAAGCACTGCTTTTGTATTACACACTAAATCAAGTGGTATTATTTTACCACTAAAATATTCAGTCTCTCAGGCACTTTTACTTCGGTCTCCAGCCATCAGTCAAACTGCTGAGGCGTGAGCGAGAGAAGGGGATAGAGAGAGAGGAAAGGAGAGAGGGAGCGATGGAGACTCCATCCTCCTGTAACATGTGTCTACAGCAATCTTGTTAAAGAATGCAACAGATCTGCGGCAGGCTCCATAACAGTATTTGTCAGCAGGAGTTAATAATTTATTAGCAGTGCTGGGAGGGCTGCGCGCAGGCAGCTTAAGAGTACGGAGCACCCCCTCTGCCAAGCCCCATACAATACTACCTCATATCATTGAAAGGGAAAAGGGAAGTGCGGCAGTAATTCTCTGAAAATATCTGAGGGCAACGGTACGGTATTTTATTTCTCATATTTTGAGCGGGGATCACACAGTTCTGAGATCTAAAGAGGTTTCTGTGCAAAAGATCAACATAGACACAACAAAGACATTTGATGAGGAAGAATATGTAGAATATGCCTGAATACAAATGTTATCCCATTTTCTCATGGAACTAAACTTTATAGCAAGGCGTCTGAGCTTTCTGAATAAAATCTGCAAAACAACCCTGTTTGTATATCTGCAATATATTCTGGCTTTGTGAAAGGACCCTACCCTTATTAATAATTGAATACATTTAGATAATGAGCTCAAAATGTGCTATAACAGACTGAACAGTAAAAATATGGTGCACTGAAGAGTTAGCTCATAAAACCTTGACAAGCTGCCCTCCCACATGCTTGATTGCACATTAACAATAGACAACTAACCACGGTAATCAATAAGTGGATGAAATGGTGCCTTCCTTCTGAAATACCGTACAAAGCCCTAGTGACTTTGAAAACTCGAGGCAGAGACGAGGAAGGGTCAGTTAGAAAAAATAACAGGCCTATATATAGCTGACAATATTGGGCACATTGGAAGGATTAGGACTTAAGTTATCCAGCCACGGGCTCATATAGCCTGGAATGCCTTGAGTCATGAATTGTTCCCTGCTATAATGTTTCATCATCGTGCAAAACAACCTCTGCTTAATTGGTGACTATTAGAGGAGTGTTGTGCAGTGCTCATCTAGGGGGTCTTGTGACTGAGGGGCCATGTGTTCTCGGCTATCCCATTTCCCCTTTCATCGTAAAAGGCTCTCACTGACTTTCACCCGCTGTATCTGCTCTGTGACACTGTTTACCTTTTAGGGACAATGGTGATAAGTAATGTCACACCATCTCCCCCACCCCACCCCCACTTGTGTTTCTCAGTACTAATGTCTTGCACCTTCAAGTTTTGATCACAAGACCCAATAGGGGAATATTACATGTTTTTCCAATACATGATATCAGCAGACAAAAGGAGAGAAAATCTAATAAATTATTTAAACACAAAACGTCTTTTTTTTATTTCACTGAAGGGGAGAACAGGCCATATAAGATAAAGGGCTTCACTTGTCATGTGTGACAGGGTGTACTTAATGCATGCATTCAATGTTCATGTACAAAAATAAGAAATTATAAGACATATAAAACATTTTTAAGTGTTAAAATTGACCAACTGTCTCAAGCATGAACAAAAGAAACAAAGCTACAATGCCTGATCTTTTCCATTAGTTGTGTCACTGTATAGTACTGTAGGAGCTATTTAACATCACCTAACTAAGGTCCTTAAAAAAAAACAATGTTGAATCAAAATGTTATTTAAAAACAAAGGTTATAACTTAAAAAACAAATAGTATAATTCCTTATTATATTTAAAAGTGAAGTAGCAAAAAATGAAAGAGTTGTGGGGCTTTAAACTGTTATGTCTGTGTGTGAGTGTGGGCGTGAGAGAAAGTCAGAGAGAGAGAAAATCATCTGTTTGCCTTCAGGGGTTCCTCCTGTTCTAACAGGTGTCGTGGTAGGGTTCCTCTGGGTTCTTCACCTGCCATAATGAGATATTACTACCTGACAGCTCCCAGCTGGAGGAGCATTGACACGGAATCCACCGTTTAGCACAATTAAATTATCACCCTCCATTGTGATTGTGCCATGCTGTGCAGCAGCCAGGTTTCTGGATACATAATCAACCCGTAACACGGGCTGTACCGCTCACAGTTAGCCTCTTTTTCAGCACACACATACCTAGACACAGAGTTCTCAAGCACATGCATCTTTACTATTGCGTGATTCCTGCAGATTTAAAGATAGGTATTCAGAAAGAAAGAGATCGCTTGCAATTTTTTTTACAAGTCTCTTTGAGTCAGTAATAGACAAATCCATTGAAATCTCTTAATTATAGATAATGATATTAAAATATAGTAAATGGTTGGAAAAATACAGATTTTCCAACAAGATAACCTACTGTACAGTGACTGGAGAGTTGTCTAAATGAATTTGTTTAAATTGTTCCTCCATTATTGTTGACCTTCCCTTGCAAAAAGTCAACTCAATTACGGCGGCA